AGGTCCAGGACATTCATCCTGGAGTATTTGATGTGAACAGATCCCATGGTTTCCACAACAACTTGTTTGATCAATGGGGGCAGTCTCCAATGCCAATTGACTAGTCGGTTGCTCTAACTTGTCCTTCCCAAAGTTACTGCAGCCTGCACATGTTACAGTTTGAGTTCAAGGTATCCTTACCCTTGTCAAGATTTACATGTATTGCAAGAGAATGAAATCATTTTGTTTAAAAAATTGAATTCGGCAGGAGGACTGTGTATCATTGCATTAAGGAAAGAAATATTTACAAGTGAAATCAGTCTGTTAACTGCTGCCTCAGATTCCTAATGTATCTCCACAAATGTGGTCATGTATTTGATGTAGAAAGTTTGCCTGCAGGATCACTAAACTATTTTTATGTTACATAAACTTTTCTTTGACATGTTAAATAAACACCATGCACTGAAGGTATAACTTTTGGTATAAACGACTGTTTGTGAGTTCTATTTTTAACATACAAGGTTACTATGTTGTGGGATCAAAACTCAAGTGATCTGGTTATAAATAAAAGAGAACATGTGAAACTGCAGGAAAACATATCTATACTTCTTTCTGGTTGACAAAAACTAATAAATAGTTGACTCCTTTCTAGGACCACATGATGCAAAATGAATCTAGGGAGAAAAATTCTGGACTCAGTACTAGATTACAACAATAACTGCAATGCTAATAGCTACGATCGAATTCCAGGACCAAGATTGAATGCTTGGCACGGATTAAGAAAAGTTAGTTTTAGCAACCTACCCAAACAATGAAACAAGACAAGCAAGCCGGCAAGAGAGTATAAAACACATGGTAATAGAATATGAAGGCATATGTCTGTAGTCCAAATTTATTCAATGAAAATGATGCTCATTGTATTTTCTAGTACTGGATATTAGAAAGTGTAAAATCACTATTCCACTGTCTTAATACTTTGATAAAGACTTAAATGTGATGGGAGTACTGAAAAGCATAAGCATGGCATCCTACTTTTTTCAAACATGTTGACTAGTAAGAGTTCAGAGTCATCACAAAGAAATCATGTGTGGTGTACTCGTATTGTCCTTTTTCTTTTTCTTTAATATAATGATACATAGCTCTCCGAGGAAAAAAATCACAAACAAATCATTTCACAGTATTTTGTGCCTTCCTGTGTGTACTTCTATTGTGTTTTCTAAAGAAAAAAGAGACAGCGGAGGCTGAATCGCATTCGATAACAACTGCTAAGGAATAGTAGTGCACAAGCTCTAGTCGTGTAAAACAGACCTTTGATTACATTATGACGTTTGTGTTCCTTGGATGCCATCTCTAATTCATACTTGTGCTTCCATTCAGCTGCCTCTGCTTGAGCAGCAGCTTTCCCTTCTGCAACTCGTCGCAGTGTTTTTGCAACAGCTTCCATTGCAAATGGTAAGTCATATTAAACACGTGAGTATAGTAACATATATACATATATTAGGCAATCGAGTATGCAATATTACTTCTCAAAGCTTCAGAGAACTCTTCAAGGTGTGCATCAGTTAATCTGATAGGAGTTTGAGGAATAAATGCATAGGCCGCCCTCTCTGACTCCAGCAAACTAACTGTGGTGATGTCTCCATTTTCAGCTTGATTTGAGGTAGCCACATTAAAGTTTATTCTTTCATCAGAAACCTGCAATATAAGAAATGCCATTAAGGGCTTAGGGAGATAAAGATAATACAAGGATGACAGACTTCATGAGCTAATGAAAGTCAACATACTATTATATAAAAAGAAAGAGCAGTACAAGTCCAGTATTTACTGGTAGAGGCTTGGAAATAACGGTCATCAACTGATTACTCCCAATATCACAACATCAGAGCATCGCACATTCTTCTCCCAAATCCCCAATGAACACTAGTTAACACGCAAACATTTCCCTTATTTCTACCATCAAGGTTTAGTGGTTTGTTGAACCGAGTCTAAAATACTTCTCCAAAAAGTTTTTTTTGTCAGCTTCCCTGTTTTAAATGTAGCCATCCACCTCCGTTGCAGGCCAGGGCCCCTGGCTACATTGGAACAGCAGCATACCGTGACGCTTCAGAATGGCGCATTACCCAAGCCCCCAACTGAACCTGAATTCCCACAAAAAAATCACCGGGCTGAAGCTACGGCCCCTTTCCACCGCGACCCAAAAAGGGTTAAAGAAAACCACCGCAATTCCGCTCTCCATTACAACCTGGAGAGCACGAATCACCTTTTACTAACAAGACCGATCTGAACCAAACGCATGCGGCTAGAATTTTTCGGGGGAACCAATCGCACGAACCCAGGAATCGAACGCGAAACAAATTCTAAGGGAATCTCGCAGCGGTGCGTACCTCATCCGCGGCGGTGAGCTCGTTGGCGGACATCGTCGCGCCGCTTTCATCAAATCTTCCTTCTCCTGCCGGAACCCGGAAAGGAGCGAAAAGAGGAAGCACTACCGAGCCCTGTTCGCCTGTTCGGAGTTGTTCGGTTATTAACAGGGCCACGTGGCGTTATTCACCTGTTCGGCTGATACAGTTTCAGCCGTCGGCTGATACAGTTTCAGCCGTCGGCTGATTCAATAGTGTATGTAGGCCTGGTTTAGATTCTAAGTTTTTCATTCTCTCTATATCATATTAAATCTTTGACATATGTATAGAGTATTAAATATAGATAAAAAAATAACTAATTATATAGTTTAATTGTAAATTACGAGATGAATCTTTTAAGCCTAGTTAGGCCATGATTGAACAATAATTATCAAATACAAACGAAAATACTACAATATCAAATTCTAATTTCTAACATTTATCTAAACAAGGCCGTAGTGTCCATGCAAGAGAGAATAAGCTAAAGCTAGCTGTGATGGCTGCAGACGGTGACAGGTGGGGTCCAGCTTTCCAAGAATGTCAGACGACGCGACTCCACTGGACACGTGTCCGCGTCGGTGGATCAGGGTGCTGGCTCCATCGTACAGTGACTACCAACTTCAAAGGTAGGCCCACCTGCTATTTACTCTCCCACCGAAAAAAAATGTAATTACGAGGATCGTGTCAGTCAAACTAGCTCAAATTTGATCAAATTTATAGTAAATAGTATTAGCATTTATGTCTCCAAATAAATTTATTATGAAAATATATTCTATAACTAATCTAATGGTGTATATTTTGTCTCATGCGTGTTAGTATTTTTTCATATAATTTTAGTTAAAGTTTAAATTCTTTGACTTCTCTGAATATGAGAATTGCATTTTTTTGACGGAGAGAGTACCATTGTTGCTAAAAATGTTTTTTAGCTCCAGTTCGATTTACCTCCTTTAACTATAAACCAGGTGTTTGTGCTCATCAAAACTATTGAAACCATTTGATTTATCCTCCTGAGTGTTTTTGAAAGCAGTTTTTGAAAAAAGGAAGGTAAATCAGACTTTCGCGATAGTTCAAGGGATCAATTATACTTTATAAAAAGTTATAGAAATGATTTTTCAAAAAATATCCAAATATTTTTATAGAATAAATATACATTTAAAAATACTAAAATCTGATTTAATATTAAAAATCATAGAAAATTTATTTTAACTCAAAAATATGAAACTTCCTAAAATTATTCTCTATGTTTTTTAGAGTTAGGAGCATGATTTTATGAAACTTTTGAAGTCCGGCATCTCGAGCTCATCCAAACCGGCTTTCTACTTAATCATGTGCTCTCGCTGCATGCGCAGACCTATGCCAATGATGAAGAACGAGGAAAATCGTGTCTATCCGGATACCGTCTACCATCGTAGACGTTCAGAGTCTGAGAAGTTGTATGCCGGCTGCTGCTGATGGTCAATCATCCTACATATGTCATCGTTGGGGTGTTGACAGTGTAGCTACAATGTTAAACCATGTGGTACATGTGTGTTAATGTGCAATCAAAGCTTGAATTGTATTTTTATTTGAACTTCCTCATGCATGTCTCAATGGTTAAGCAGGACATTGGTGCTAAGGAACCCTTTTTTTTGCAGTTTGACACGGTGGGTTGCGCATTAATTCACGCTATGCTCTGCAAGAATTTTTCTTTTGTCTGCATCCTTCATTTCATATTTGACTAATTTTAAATTTTAGAATACCATATAAGATTCAAAAAATTCTAAGCATGAAAGAAAAAGGTAGAGCTCGATTTTAGAAAAAAATATAAAACTGGTTTCATAATTTTTTCCGTGTTGAAACAAATTCTATGTAAATTTTCTAACATTAAATCAAATTTTAGTATTATAAATGTATATTTGTTCTAGAATATTTGATAACTTTTGAAAATATATTTCTATAATTTTTTAACAAAGTATAATTGATCTTTCCGAACCACCGTGAAAGTCTGATTTATCTTCTCATTGCTGACGTGGCGCTACATAGGACGACTGTTGCGGCACTACATTAGCTAAAACTGCTTTTAAAACCACTCAAGCATGTAAATTGAATGGTTTTAAGTAGTTTGATTGAGAAGTGTAAATACTTTTGTTTTATATAGTTTAAAGAGGTAAATCGGACGATATGATGGGTCAGGAGGACTTTTCCCTCTAGTCTATTTTTTTTTCACCTAACAACTGGAGTAAAGCGGCCCAACAACTAGAGTACTAGATTACTGGGTTTTGGGTTATGAACTTTCAATCCAAGGGCCAGTTTGGGTGCCGAAATTTTTGGCAAAACGACATTATAGTGTTTTCGTTGTTATTTGGTAATTAGTATCTAATCGTAGTCTAATTAGGTTTAAAAGATTCGTCTCGTAGATTTCGTCTAAATTGTATAATTAGTTTTATTTTTTATTTATATTTAATGCTTCATGCATGCGTCTAAAGATTCGATGTGACGGAGAATCTTGAAAAATTTAGTATTTTGGGAGGGACTAAACAGGGCCCAAGCCCAGCTTCGAGCTCTGACAGTCTGGCACTCTGCTGCATAGTAGGTCCACGCTTCCACCAGCCACTCCCCGTCGCCGACCTCACCCGCCTCTCCATGGCAGCCGTCGGCGGCGATCCCTCTCCCGTCGCTGCTCCTTCCAATCCCTCGGCGATGAGCAGCTGGCCCGTAGGTGTCTCCTCGTTTACCCACACCCCGTGCTACAGGTAACCAACCCCTTTGCCCATTTTCTCGATCCATAGTTTCTCGCAGTAGATTCAAGTCATATGGTTAACCACTAGGAATTATTTCCCTTCTTCTGAAACCTTGTTTCGCGTTCCACCTCTTCTGATCATGGAAGAACTTCGAGTTGGAGGTGAATATTTGCTGTATAAAGAGTTATTTGCCAGAACTCAGAACTCAGAAGGGACAGGGCACTAGGGCAGTCGTCCCTGCCCACGTTTTCACCTATGGAAACTGTACTGGGTAGACAGGTAGAGGTTAGTCTAGTTGAAAGTTGAAACTTTAGTGTGTGTCCATCAGTCCATGATATGTTTAATGGGAGTGGGAATTAGTATAATGCAACCCCTATCATTTGCCTAGTTCCTGTTTTGGAGAGTTCATAAAAGACTTTCATCTTGGTAGTCATGTCCTGCGGGAATTAGCACACTCATCCTATGTGATTTTTATTTCTGTGATAAGACTTTATAGAGATATAATCTCATTATCTTATCCAGAATACCATATCCAGTGCACCTCAATGAGTTGTTCTTTGCTGCAACATCCTATAGATAATCGAGGCTTGGATATGGATGCAGTTACATGCATGGGGATGGGGAGACAGAATCATTGCAGCCTAATGATCATCATTCTTTGCTTTTGTAGGTTACCCAACTCAAAGCATTAGCTAACCACATATTCTGAAAGATACCACTGGTGATTATAGAATCATGTGGCATGATTGAAGCAAGCAAAACCAATACATGTATTCTTATAATTGCTCATAGACTCTGTTGTTTAAAGTTTAAACAAACCTAGGCTATTAAGAAAGAAAGTTCCTGTTTTCCATAGTGGGCGAACCCAAATTTCATTACTAAATCACAACTTAATTACAAGAACCCAACAGTTTGAATTTTAACCAATCCTACCATCAGCACAATTTGTTAGAAGAATGCCAGGCTCATGCAACCTTTTCTTGCTACTGCATGTATCACTCTGCATTAGCCATGACCATAGAAGTTTTTTGAGGAAAGTAATACATTGCTGCCCACAGCTGACAGCGCTATTGTATAAGTTCCTCTATCATAATTTATTGATTTACAGCTCTCCTGCGTTTTCGAGAAAAAAATAATTTATTGATTTATACAAGTTCCTACTGACTAACTTTAAACTATGATGCTTTAGTTTTGTTATGATTCAAGTAGCACATCAAATGACTCTGCGATGTATGGCCAGACTCTCCCATCATGTGTAGCACATGAATGGTAGAAACAGATCTGACTTCTTGTTTTCTGCCTTGGTTTAACGAGAGTAATTCATTTCAAAACAAGGAAAAAGAGAAAGGGAAAAATGTTATTAGTCAATCAGTGCAATTCTCAAAGCATAGGTGGCCCACACCTGAGGTTGAAAACTGTAACTGCATAATTGTTAGTGATGCCGCTTCAGTGGATTACCTTCAACTTAGAAGTATTTGTATATAGAATAATTTTTATTTTATAAATCTGTCCAAGTTATGTAGAGTTGTAGACAGTATGGTTTAGTTGGTTTCTTTTCATAAGTTCCAAGATTATTCCAAAAGTTAAGCTTTTATCTCCAGATATGCTTTTGAAGAAGGCTGTGGCGGATTCCTCCAGTCAAAGTTATCGTTTTTGTATTATATAAAAAACATATACCAAACCATCATATTTAAGGTGCAATGCATATACTTGTGTTTTCTTTATGTTTATTTCATTCATTTACATTTGGTTCTTGATGTTCCTTTCTCTATTTTTTATAGTTTACATTATTTTTCCTCATGTGACCTTCAATAACCCATACAGAATGTTAGAGTATATTTGGTAGTTTGTGATTTAGTCTCCTTGTAGATAGTGGGTGTGTGTGGGTTTGGGTCTATGTACGACTCTTTCTTCTATTAATACAATGATACGCAGCTCTCCTGCGTGTTCGAGAAAAAAAAAAGAAAAAAGAGAGTATATTTGGTAGTTAGGGATATTGTAATCCCATATCGCCATGTGTATCGGTGAGCTGTCTTGCCCCCACCCCCCACCACAAACCTTTACAGTTTTGATCCTGAGCCAAGGCTTCCGCTGCTGTCGCCACCGTGCCGCCCTTGGGGAGATCGATCTCCGCCAGGGCACCTCTCTCATAGTCATAGGAAGGTTTTGGCTGTGGATCTAATTGATCCACCGGCCTAGTGTCGAGTAGCAACAGATTGTTGGGCCACTGCCAGTGGCGGAGCGTGGCCCATGAATTAGAGGGGGCTAAATTGCTCACTTCATCATCAAAACATGGTGAGATATTAAACAAACATGTAGTTTAGTCTTGTAGGGATTTATAGGGTCATTAAATTTTGTCAAACAAGGGGGGGCGGAGGCCCAGTTTGGCCTCCACTACCCTCCGCCCCTGGCCACTGTCGCCGTGGGCATCAATGGGCTGCTGAGCTACTCCTCATCGTCGATCCTCCGCACCGCCCCATCGAGTCACCGTCGTTGAGAACCGTTGCCCCCTCCCTAGCCGCATCTGATAAACCTCCCCTCCCTCCTCGGTGACGCTGCTGCTGCCCTTGAGCGCGAACACGTGGTTACAGAGGAGGCCCTTGGGGACGCGGGGTGCTGCTGTTAGGGGTGTCGATCTGCTGCCGTTGGGGACGCCGGGTCGCCGCACCGATCATCAGAGTGGACGTTGGACCCTCGCGAGTGGACGTCGGACCATCGCGCTGCCCCAGGCCCATGGCCAATATCTGATCTGTTGCTGTGGTTTTTTCGTTTTTGTGATCACCTTGTCTACCGATCCCTCAACATTTGTTCGTCGAATCTCCCAATGACAATGTTGTCATTGTGTGCCTTCCCAGGCAGCAATGACACTGCTCATGGTCAAGCCATCTTCACGGTCGCCACCTATCCATGCCGGTGCCACCCATACTGCTGGCCCTCCTCGTCACATTGGTCTCAATTCGACTCAAGCCTATTGCCGCCATCCAGGACTTTGTCGCCGATGTCGCTGACAGATGACATGTGAGTGCTCGTTACATCCGAGTAGCCTGGTCTACCTTCGCCATCTGGCCATCTCTTTGATATGCTGCGGTTGTTGACAGAACGCTAGTGACTGTGTAGTCATGTGCTTCTGTTAATGCTTTGGACTTGCTTCCCTCCATGGCTTCGACCCAGGCCCGGTCCTATCAGTTGAGAGACCTGGAGCGAAGCTAGGAAGGTGGGCCCTTTAATACAACTCCAAAAAATTATTCGCTGCCCTAGTTAACATCATATCCTGACTCTGTAAGGATTCCTAAATCCCTGTATTCTAATGAAAAAGATTGGGGTGAAAAGCAAATTAAATCTCAGCATCTACATTGCGACGTCGCAACGACTGCAGGGGCATGTTAGTCTTCGCTTCTTCTCTAGTCTTACCGTCTGCGATGTTGCTGCTATTACTGCGGGGATGTTAGAGTATGTCTGTTAGTTACGGATACATTGTAATCCTATAATGCCATGTGTATCGTGGAGACATCTTTCTTACATCGCCCGAGGGCTCAGTGCAATACATCCACAAATTATACGCAAATCCCTCCTGCTTTCAAAGAATACAAAATATCATCGCTGTTTATATTTGCCATTAACAGATGAATTTCATTTCCTCCATGTATAGTGAAGAAAATGTTTACATGTTATGTAAGGAGCTTATGAGAACTGGAGTGGCTGATCCCGCGGGCACTGATCTTTATGTTGTTTTCATATCAAACGAGGAAAAGAAGGTGATTTATTGCATATTTTTCTATTGTCGGAGATCTTATTTTCCTTTAGTTGGAAATTTCCGTTCCATTCATATCTGGCATGATACATTTTTTTGCCATCAGGTTCCTCTCTGGCATCAGAAGGCAGGCCATTCTGACGATGGATTTATTTGCTGGGATTATCATATGATCTGCATCCAGGTAAAGCTAACTAAATTGCTGTGGTATTTTTCTTTAATTTAGTATGTACTGCTGACATAAAAGCAGTGCATTTTTTACCATGTAGTGTTTCACGGTACTTCTTGATGTGCATATGGAAGTCTAGGCGAAGCAAAGGAGAAGTTCTTGATTTTGTTTGGGATCTGGACTCCGATCTTCCTTTCCCTTCCCCATTCATCCAATATGTTTCTGCTGGGATTCAACCACTATCATTCGGCAATTCCAGATATGCAAGGTAAATGTTGTTACTTTTGTTGTTACCAGTATAATTGTTTATTTGTTTTGTAATACAGTTTATGATGTAGCAAGTAAATGGGAAGCCTTCTCCTTGCAGATGTGCCTGTTATAAACTTTGCAATCTGCTTTGACAAACTTTGTTTGAAACTTTGGAATTTAGGAATCAGATGATTTTTGTTGCAGCATTTAAGAACTCAGCAATAAATAGATCTATCCATGTTTAGAATTATTTTAATTGTATTGGTTCATATTTTGGGGGTCATATCGTAGTGTGCATGCAAGATTGCAATATCATGCATGACCATATAGGTGGAAAGAGGCTTTCTACAGCATGGGTTGTGTTTTCTTTTTTCTTTTGGGAAGATCACGTTTTTCTTGATTCTTGGTTGAAAGTGGGCAGCATAGTTTATACTTAGATGTGGACAATGTGGCTAGAGGCTACTCATCTTCCTCTGCAAGGCAAACCAACCATTGTGTCTCTGTACACCTAAATTGGGGAGTGGGACTGTTTATGGGGCTGTATCTGTGCCTGAAAGATGATTGTGTTTTGTTTTCCTGGTACAACTTACTATAGTTCTCTCCCATATATTGTTTGCAGACTCTTCCGTGTGATTCATGCTCCTGTGTTTCTTCGATCGTTTGCCTCAGATAGAAGCCATATGAAGGATCCTGAGGGGAACTGGATTCAGTTACCCCCAAAATATGAACCAATTGTGGCTGAAGGTAGGGAACTATATGTCATAGTCATCTTTTTTGTTCCAAATTAATTGCACTCTCTATTTTTTGTTATTTTGAAAAATGAACTCCTTTCACCATCTTAGCCCCCTGGTTATCTGAACTGTATAAAAGCTAAGCTGAAATTATGCATAGAGTTCCATCCAATTTGATACTAACATGATGGATTTATATTGAACCCTCAAGTGTACAGTACATTTCAATTCGAGAAGTTCTGTTTTCTTGCTTGTATCTGAATTTGATACTCATCCACGATAGAAGATGGCTCACTCTTCTGTGCTTCCTTCATGCTTGTTTCAGATGGAACCACCAATAACCTCAATGAGTACATCATGATGTCTGTGGAGGATGTGGTGGACTTAGAAAGTATGGCTAATGATGTTTACTACAACAAGCATGGTGTGGTGGTAAATGAAGCGATCTTGCCTAAATTCTTTGCTCAGCTGCCTGATCCACATACTTAGCCAGCGCTCTTCCTGTTTCTCTAAGGAGTGTTTCAGAGAGATCCTGGTCTGTTTTGGAATGCAGAATGTGGGAATCTCATAGTTCCGTTAGCCTAGACATCTGAAAGCTTTATCTTATCTCAAATAGGCATAGCTGATGATCGTGCTCGCCTAATAATGATATGACTAGGCCATGTTTAATGGCTTTAGCTTTCTGTTTGTCGGAACTTTTGAGCATGATACTTCTATGTGCTCGTTGTTACAAGTAAATATGTAACCCGTGAACTTGCAGACTACCGCACCTTTTTGCTTTTATAGTTTTATTACGAAAACTCCATTGTATCATTAAATTAAGCCTGCGACACTACTGCATGTTGGAATACATTTGCAGAGCACATAATACTGGAACCTGACCAGATGGGTTCGGTTGTACTCTGCGGATGGGTTCGGCTGTACTCTGATGTATTATTGTTGGCATATCGATAAGAGCATAGACAAGTCAGGTAGAAACCTTAATATGGTTAACGATCTTATTCCATTGTAAGTTGAAGGGAACTGTTTCACTGACTATTTTACAAAGTTAGATCAGTTATAGGTAGAAGAAATATTCAATGTCGTTAGAAATGGTAGATTTACCTTCTCACCTAAGTCTGAATTCTTCAGTGGGAATTTCCATCACAAGGTCCTGAAGTTTTAACACTGCATACAATTCTGTTAGAATTTTTCTTATTGAACGGACTCAGCTCAAGATGGTAAATACAAAACTCAGCTGCAACCTGCCTCCTCTTTATGTCTCCCACATTTCCCTCTCAAAAATATCTATCCACTTCCTCGTCCATCTACACGCGCTGTCTATCCGCTAAACTCCTAATTTGCTGCCGCCATCTTCCTGCACGCGCCCCACCCTATGTTGTTCACTTCTCACTCCTGCCCGTCGCACGCGCCCACCCTGCGCCTCTCGCTCCTTGCTCTCGCAGTCCCACCCGCCACACGCCCACCTGCACCGCTCGCTCCCGCGACGTCGGGTGCGCCGCCCGCCTCTGCTGGTGCTTGTGGTGCTGTCGCATGCCTTAGGTCGGTCCCCGGCCGAGCCAAGGGCACCCATGAGTGCGGCCCGTGCTGGTGGTGCTCGCGCCCCAAGGTCGGAATCAACCGGTCCCGACCTGCCCTCCCATATGCTGCAAATGTATGTTTCAAGTGTTTCAGATGTTTTAGAGGTACGTTGCAGGTGTTTCGTATGGATGTTACAAAAGTAGATCGGGATGTTGCAAGTGTTTCAGAGGCATGTTGCAAGCATTTGTTTCAAATGTTTCATCTGTTTCAGACTTATATTGCAAGCGTTTTTTTATCTAGATGTTGCACATGTTTCACACTTACGTTGCAAGAGTATGATCGAAATGTTGCAGTTGTTTTAATCTTATGTTGGAATAAGTGTTTTCATGTTGCAATTTGCAAGTGTTTTATCTGAATGTTACATATGTTTCACACAAATGTTGCAATTGTATGTGCCAAATGTTTCGTCTGCTTCAGTCGTATGTTGCATCCAAGTGTTTCATGTTTCAGAGGTAGAGTCCTAGGGGGGCATAACCTGGGCGCCGGGGGATGGGGCGCGGCGAGCCGTGGGCCGCGATCGGGGCGTGCAGCGCTCCTAGGATCCTGCGGACGAGGTGTGCTCGTCCTCATGCCGGCTCTCGTGTCCTGCCTGCCCAGAGATAGAGGAGGGGGTCAGGGGAAAGGAGCGGCAGGTGCAGCGTTTCACGCGGGTGTGCGGGCGTCCGGACTCGCGGTCGCGGAGAGAGAGGATGGGGCCAGGGGGAAGGAACGGCAAGCGCGGCCTTTTCGCGGGCGCGCGTGACGAAGGTGGCACGGGCATCCGGACACGTGCTTTTGTCCGGACGTCCGGACGCTAGTATCTTCCATGTTGGAAACATATTCCCTCTGTCTCTTTTTATCTGCCATTCTCAGTTTTCGAGAAGTCAAATACGTTCAACTTTAACCATATATATACAAGAAAAATATTAATATTTATGGTACATAATTAGTATTGTTGAATCTATTTTCATAATAAATTTATTTAGATATAAACGTTGCTCTTATAGTTTGCTAAAACTCCATTGTATCATTAAATTAAGCCTGCGACAATACTGCATATTGGCATACATTTTTTTTTTGTGTAATCATATTGGTATACGTATGCAGAGCACATAAGACTGGAACACCTGACCAGATGGGTACTGGGGTAAGAGGGGGGTGGGGTTCTCACAAATACATGTCCCAACTTTCTGAATTAATAGCATTTTAGCTCTCCTGTATGATGTAAAACACAAGCACTCCCATTCCATCAGAAGTTGAAAGGGAGCTATTAACTGATAATTTAACAATGGATAAGAGTATAGACCAGTCAGGTAGAAACCTCAATATGGTTAACAATCTTATTCCATTGTAAATTGAAGGAGCTGTTTCATCGACTATTTTACAAAGTTGGATCAGTTATAGGTAGAAGAAATATTCAATGTCGTTAGATTACCTGCTCACCTAAGTATGAATTCTTCAATGGGAATTTCCACAAGGTCCTGAAGTTTTAACACCGCATACAATTCTGTTAGAATTGTTCTTATTAAACGGACTCAGCTCAAGATGGTAATACAGAACTCAGCTGCTCTGACGAGAAAAGGGGTACAAATGTTAGCAACATACATGTAGCCTTTTGATAACTGCTAATAAGAGGCCTAAATGTACGTCCAAATTGGCTGAGGAAGACCTCGTTTAGTTTCTTCTTCAAAGTTTACATCCTATCACATCGAATATTTGACATATATATGGAATATTAAATATAGACTAAAAATAACTAATTGTATAGATTGTGACTACTTTGCGAGACGAATCTTTTAAGCCTAATTAGCCTATGATTTAACAATAAAGTTGAAAGGTTCTAATGGCTAGAGGGGGGTGAATAGCCTATTAAAATTTTCTACAACAACACTTAGCAAATCGGTTGGACAAATATGAAGCGAAGCGAGTGTTGCGCTAGTCTACTAAAAATACAAGCCACTTACTACAATTCTAGTTTCTATAGTCTCTATCCACACAATAACTATATCACTACACTAAGTTAGTGTGCTCTCAAAGGCTAACTAAAGAGCCACACTAACCAAACTAACAAGCTCTCACGACTAGCTACACTAAAGAACTTGACAACTAGTTTGTAGTAATATAAAGAGAAAGAGCAAGATAGTTATACTGCCGAGTCGAGTAATGAACCAATCAATCAGAAGAATGAAGACCAATCACATCGGAATCAAATAATGACACAATAATTTTTTTACCGAGGTTCACTTGTTTACCGGCAAGCTAGTCCTCGTTGTGGCGATTCACTCACTTGGAGGTTCACGTGCTAATTGACATCACACGCCAAACCCTCAATAGGGTGCCGCATAACCGACACAAGATGAGGATCACATAAGCCACGAGCAATTTACTAGAGTACCTTTTGGCTCTCCGCTAAGGAAAGGTCAAGAACCCCTCACAATCACCACGATCGGAGCCGGAGAAAATCACCAACCTTCGCTCGATGATCCTCGCTGCTCCAAGACATCTAGGTGGTGGCAACCACCAAGAGTAACAAGCGAATCCCACAGTGAAACACGAACACCAAGTGCCTCTAGATGCAAACACTCAAGCAATGCACTTGGATTCTCTCCCAATCTCATAAAGATAATGAATCAATGATGGAGATGAGTGGGAGGGCTTTGGCTAAGCTCACAAGGTTGCTATGTCAATGCAAATGGCCAAGAGAGTGAGCTTGAGCCGGCCATGGGGCTTAAATAGAGAGCCCCCATAAATAGAGCCGCTGACTCCTCTGTCCAGTGAAACACGGGCTGACTGGATGCATCGGTCAGGTTGACCGGACACAGGACCCCCGCGTCCAGTCTTCCGATGCTCGCCACGTGTCATCAGCCTCAAATGCTGAGCGCCCGATCTTAACGGCTAGTCTGCTTCGCGCCACGTGTTAAGGTGCGACCGGACGCACTGTTTAAAGTGACCGAATGCTTCATCACTAGAGTCCGGTCGTTTCCAGTAAGGTTCCAGAGAGACAAAATCATGACCAGACGTGTCCGATCGCGTCTCAGGGTCCGGTCCTCACTGGCTTGTTCTGATGCTTACGTCAACGTACGTCATAACCTGATCGGACGCACCCCCAGCGCGTCCGGTCCTATTTCTTCTCAGTGTCCAGTCAAAGGACCATAGACGGCCTTCACTGCGCACCACTAACCGGACGCAGGGTCAGAGTCCGGTCATTGCCCAAGGCAGAGTCCAGTCAATACGAAATAGCTCCTTTTGACCTCAAACTTCACCACCCTTGGTCAAATATGCCAACCACCAAGTATAACACTTCGTGCATGTGTGTTAGCATATTTTCACAAACATTTTCAAGGGTGTTAGCACTCCACTAGATTCTAAATACATATACAATGAGTTAGAATATCTAGTGGCACTTTTATAACTGTATTTCAATCCGAGTATCACCCCTCTTAATAGTACGACTATCGATCATAAATGTGATCACACTCGCTAAGTGTCTCGATCACTAAACCGAAAAACTTATATCAATTTCACCTTTGCCTTGAGCTTTTTGTTTTTCTCTTTCTTCTTTTCTAAGTCCTAGCACTTGATCATCACCATAGCATCACCATCACCATGATCTTCACTGTTGCTTCATCACTTGAAATAGTGCTACATATCTCATAACCAATTTGATAAACTAGGTTAGCACTTAGGGTTTTATCAATTCACCAAAACTAAACTAAAGCTTTCAAAAATGCTACAGTACACACGTGTGCTAATGATGGATTAATTAGGTTTAATAAATTCGTCTTGTGGTTTACTGCGGATTCTATAATTTGGTTTTTTATTAGTATCCAAACACTCCATGCGATACTTCCATGTGACACCCGATGTGACACCCCGAAACTTTACACCCAGAAACTAAACAAGGCCTAAGTGAGTATAATGCATAAAGTGGAATAAGGCCTTGTTTAAATCCAGGGTATAAAGTTTTGAGGTGTCACATCGGATGTTACATGGAGGTGTCGCATGGGGGTGTTCGGATACTAATAAAAAAATAAATTACAGAATCTGTCAGTAAACCGCGAGACAAATTTATTAAGCCTAATTAATCCATCATTAGCACACGTGTTATTATAGCACCACATTGTCAAATCATGGACTAATTAGGCTTAAAAAATTATGTCTCGCAAAGTAGTCGCAATCTGTGCAATTAATTATTTTTTAGTCTATATTTAATACTACATGCATATGTCCAAACATTCGATGGAATATGGTATAAACTTTTGGAGAGGAACTAAACACTGACATTTTTGTTATAAAAAGAGCATGGTGGTTAATATGGCAATTTAAAAGATATGGTTATGAAATTTGGGCTCCCAACGCGATATAGGGCCTGTTCGTTTAGAGAAATCTGGAGAAATTTGTGAGAGAGTGAACAATGTTTTCCAGTCGTGCACCGTGATTTTCATGTCAGCCGAACAGCCCCATAAAAAGCATAATTATAAGTACTAGTATTTTATTATATTTGGAATGGTAGCTACCCACTCTTTTTCAGGCAGATGTGGAAGTGATAGCCAGCCACCCGTCTTACATTATCAAAAGATGTGGTTTACTGTGGTCCTGTGGACACGATTTTGAATCCAGCAAGTAGACTGCTAATGGTCAAAAGTTGAATTTGCCTCAATAATTTGTGAAAGGCTGAGTAACATGTAGGGTAATATGTCTTATCATACCAAAAAAAATATGCGCTTTTATTTCTTCAGGTGTACTAATAATTGATTGTATCAGTGGCTTTCAGGTATTCTGCTCGTCTCCAATCATACAACGCCTGGTCCCACAATTGTCGTTGACGCTGGTGGGGTTCATGCATGATCCGGACTGCGGCATTCACCTAAGCTTGTTCAAGGCTTCAAGCCAGCTCATACTAGAAGCATTGCTGATGCTGACTTGGCTAATGGCCAAGATTATTATATGTATAATGGGATACCTATTAATTTGTGTCACTGAATCCAATTGCCAAAACACCATAGTTGCCGAACTGCTCCTTGGAGAGCATCTGTAAATGTACCCAAAAAAGGCTAAAACTTATAGTGTTGGATGATTGCAAAAATAATATATTAGGTGTAAAAAGAAAAAGAACTTCCTTCAAGAGCATTCTATTTTTCGTGCCCTGCCATATCATCGTGTGGAACCTCTTTAATCACCTCTAGCCACCTCGGGCTAAAATAGGGACGGCGATTTTGGCTAAAGTAGGGACCGTGATTTTGGCTTTTGGGTACTCTTGGAGATGCTTAGGTCGAATCATGTTTGCTTGTACTATGGCAACTATTTCTCAGGCATTGGCCCCGTTCGCTTCGCTGAAAAAACAAGTCGAAATACTGTTCCGACTGAAAAAAACAAACTGAAAAGTACGAATTATAAGACAAGTGAACAGGAGAATTGGATCATTTCTAAGCAGGATCCTGATCCTACATCCCATGTTCAGTCTCACCTACTACTGTACCAAACTCCTAACTTTGATTCCTACCTCTACACTTATCAGCAAAATACGCCATGAATTTGTCCACTAACGTGATGTTGATGTACAGTGACAAATCAAACTTGGAAAACTAATACCACGTGATTGACATACTGTTCATCGTGTCAGCATCATCTGCAGCATATATATGAATTCTAAACAAAACCCAAACCAACAATGATTTTTCGCTCCCTCTTTCTCTAATCAGCAAATGAATATGGAGCGATAATCACCACCCCTCTGTTTTTTATAATTTTTTCTCTGAATTTTCCGTTTAGTGAGTACTTGTCCTTTTTTCTCTTTCAAATCTTCAGATTTAGGGACATACTCCGTACTAATAAAGAATGCATTAAACTCACAGGACGGAGCAGGCAGTTGGGCTCTCAGGCCCTCTTTAGTTCCTAAAAATTTTCACATCGAATCTTACAGCACATGCATGAAGTACTAAATGTAGATGAAAAAAAACTAATTACACAGTTGAGTGAGAAATCGCGAGACGAAACTTTCGAACCTAATTAGTCTATAATTAGACACTAATTGACAAATACAAACAAAAGTGCTACAGTAGCCGAAACAAAAAAATTCCGCCAACTATCAGTTGCTCCGCACAGTTCATGTGACGAAGATGTTAAGTAATGAATGCACCCCAAGTAATTAGTACTGCACGAGAATGATGTACAATTCCTGACGCCCTATGCCCCTGTCGAAATCTATGCAAGAAAAGGATGAGACTGCGCAACTGCAGATCACACCTTGCGACCTTGACACATCGATGCCTTTTGAACTGGCCTGATTTAGTTGGCGATTTTTTTTTTTTGAAAAATGATATCGTAGCACTTTTGTTGTTATTTGATAATTAATGTCTGATCATAGTCTAATTAGGTTTAAAAGATTCGTCTCGTGAATTTCATCTAAACTGTGTAATTAGTTTTATTTTTTATTTATATTTAATGCTTCATGCATACGTCCAAAAATTCGATGTGATGAAAAATCTTAAAAAATTTTGCAAAATTTTGGGAACTAAACAGGCACTAACAAAGCGTTCCACCTAATTTTTGCAAAACAACAGTGCCAATGCAATCAACAAGTACATCATAATAGAACAGTTGCAAAACATCATATGCTTAATTTATGCAGGATTTGTCCAACACAAATAAAATGAAGCAGTCATATCTGGACTAGCAGTCTAGAACACAAGTACATGGTCACTGCATGAGAACATCTCCACTATATGTAACTTCCCAAGGTGGAAATGCAAAAATAATTTTCCTTAACAAATTAACGTCCGCTACAGCTACCACCATGCCTGCATATATACAGAACAATTCCACACTTGTTCTTCTTGTTGTATGCAGGCAGGAAAAATAATCAACAAAAGAATACTACAACAACGAACAATCTACTTCAACTAGTGGTCATTTTGAAGCTCCACTTGATTCAGTTTGAAGCAGCGAAATGATCACCAGTTCCTTAAATTGAATCTGATGATCTACAGCTCTTTGTTGTTTCGATCTCAGAGCTACACTAGGAGATCGCAAGCAAGCCATTGCATTGGCTATCACCCGAGAACCAAGATTCAATAGCTGGGGAGTTGTTGTCATTGCTGGCATTCCAAATGGCAGATCACATCGCTTGGTTCTGAAATCAAGGCTGTATCAGCCAATCACCAATACCAGGTAATATTTCTGGTACAATCCCAATTACCATGATGAAACCTAGGGAATGAGATTGTATGTCATGAGCTCGAGGTAAGGTGCCAGGTGATAGTTGATTAAGCCAACCTCAAGAACATTGTATGAACTTAACTCCCCTCACTCTTCAAATGAACTTTTCTACTTTGTCTCGGGTTCCTCCTTGACTTTCATGGATTTTCTCTGCCGTGCATTGGATTTTGCCTTCATTCTCTTGAACATTTTCCACTTTTTCAAGGTTTTGCTCTTCCTTTTCTTGAATCTTCTCTTCTTTGTCGAGGTTTGGCTCCGTTGTCTCTAACAATTTGCCTGTTTTGCCTAATGTTTCCTTGGAACTTTCTTGAATCCCACTTGCATTATCTTGGATTTTCCCTGCATTATTTTGCTCTTCACCCGCTTTGTGTTTGATCTTCACATCAAAACGAGAAATCCTTTCAGACTTTGGCAGTGCCTCAGATCCAACAACTCTTACCGTCTGGTTCCTCCTTAGGAGTAACACTGCATCCTTTTCAATAAGCTCACCAGTAGCGCGGACTGTTCTTGCTCTGGTTATGCCGAATCTTTGGCCGGCAACACCATCGATCCGAGCCATCAGGTCCAAGAGATTTCTCCTCTCCCGAGCCCCGGCCTCAGATAAGACCATCCCATTCTTCAGTGGCCGGGGTGACTTCTTGGCACCAACCAATGGCACCTGATCCTCCTCCAAGGCGGCCTCTGCATCTGCATCCTCTTTTTCATCGTCGTCAAACGCCAATGCTGAAGTCGACTCCCTCTCCGATTCAGCTCTGTTGCTGGCAGCAGCTCGCTTCGAGATGGTCTTCTGAATATCAACAACGGCGCAGGGGTTCCCTACCACCGCAAGCCCATCGGCGAGGCCGTTCCACACCTTGGCCGACACTGCTTTGCTGAGAACCACGAGACGCTGGACGATGTCGGCCATGGACGGGCGCCGCTCCCTGCACGAGCGCACACAGCTAGCGGCGAGCGCGGCAAGGTCCTTGCGGGTGGCCGGGTAGCGTGGCGGCGCCACACGCGGGTCGAACAGCGAGGCCACCTTGCCTTTACGCAGGAGCGGGACGGCCCACTCGACGACGGACGGCGGCGAGTGCTGGACGTCGATGGCCCTGCGGCCGCTGATGATCTCCAGCAGCAGGATCCCGAAGCTGAAGACGTCCGTCTTGGTGCTGAGGCACTCGGGCGTGACGTAGGCCGGGTCGAGGTAGCCGAGCGTGCCCGCGGGCGCCGCCGGCGTGGCGGCAGCCGCGCCGGCGCCGGCATTGGCCTTGGGCACGCGGAGGGCGAGGCCGAAGTCGCCGAGGCGCGCGTCGAGGTTGGCGTCGAGCAGGACGTTGGCGGACTTGACGTCGCGGTGGATGACGGGCGGGTCGGCGTCGTGGAGCGCGCGCAGCGCCCTGGCCGTCTGCAGCGCGAGGCGGAGGCGGCGCGGCCACCCCGGCGGGCGCGGGTTGGAGTGGAGCAGGTCGTAGAGCGTGCCGTTGGGCATGTACTCGACGACGAGCAGGCGCGCGGCGGCGGGGCCGGGGTCGGAGAAGCCGAGGAGGTTGACGAGGCGCGGCCCGCGGACGGAGGAGAGGATGCGGATCTCGTTGTCCACCTCGGGGCGGCGCGGGGAGGGACGCTTGACGGCGACGGCGCGGCCCGAGGGGAGCACGGCCTTGTAGACGGCCCCGTGGCTGCCCCGGCCCAGCAGCGCCGCGTCCGCGAAGTGGGACGTGGCCGCCTCCAGCTCCGCGTAGTCGAAGCGCTCGATGGCCGCCGGCGCCGGCGGCAGCGCGGGCCGCCTGGAGGAACCGCCGGCTGCCCCCGACCCCGAGCGGCGCGAGATTGGGAGCGGCGAGATGGCCGTGATGGAGCGGCACGTCGCCACGGACGAGTCCGCGCGGCAGGAGAGGTACCCCATTTGGCTCGGCTCCCCACTACGAGGAGTGCTTGCTTGGGTCGCTGCGGCTGCGGCTGCGGCTGCGGCCTCGGCCGGGTGGGTTGGGGGAGTGAGTGAGGGAAGGGGAAGAGAGGAAGGGGATCCGAATCGGCAGAGCGCGGACCGCGGACGGACTAAGGAGAGAGAGGGGATGTGCCTCTCGTCTCGGCTGCGTGTTTTTTGGTGGGTGTCGTGTCTGTTTTCGTTTGGTGCGGGGCCCCGTTTCCGCGCGTGGGTGCGGGAGGGAGCGGGGCACGGCCAGGCGACCAGGCCGGTGGCAGGCAGTAATGCGTGGTTTCGAAGCGGGACGGCCGACGGCGACGGTATGCGGGGTAAAACTGCGCCGCGAGTAACCGATTTTTGCGACGGCCACTGGATAATCGTCGCGTCGTGCCGGTGGCGCTTTTTGCAAGGTGTCGACGAAACGGGTCATGGTGGTGCGTGTTTCCCGGCCAAGTCCGCTCGCACGTACTCCTACGTAGCGCTCGGAACAGATGGGCGGCATCGCATCAGTCCCGAGTCTCCGAGTGGAAAAGCGAGGGACCGGCGCCCAGCGCCAGCGGGCATCCGATCTCTGTGTGTGCAGTGCAGTGCGGTTTCCCCTTGCTCCTTTTCGGATGCTGTTCCTTTTTCCCGGCTTGCGTTGACCCGACCTCCCTAATAGCCTGCTGATGCATTCGTATCGCTACCGTATTCGTACATGCCTGCCTCGTCTACTTCATACTATACTAGCTGAACGAGGTGGAACGATCATCCTCATCATCTCGAGATGTGCAAATTGTAGTGAGCGCGGGACAGACACGTTGCCTCTGCTGAAACTTTTTTACACCCAACAAAATCAGAGCCCTTCCGTGTCCACTAGAATGTCCATGCAGCCACGCATTTTTAAGACCGGGAGCGGGAGCCGAACGGATTAGAGCTGAAGCAGCAGCACTATTTTGTTTTGTCTTGTAGGAGTAGACAAAACAATGTTTTGTTATTAATCCGATCGTGATCTCAGTCAGTGCCGGGAGGGACGCATGTGGCAGGAACTGGAGCAATCCAGATTTATCTCCCAAGAAAATGTTAGTATATTCCAGCTACTCATCAGAAAAAGGAAAAAGGCATCGCTTCACTTCAGCTTGTTTCAAGCCTACTCATGCTTTGCTTCTTGTGAGTGGGGAAGTGATTACCCGGCATGAAAGGAATCTCTGTACTTGGTTTACTAACCCCGGCGGTTCCATGGCAGATGGCACGTGCGTGCCCCCCGCATACAGCTAATCTGATCTGTGAATCCTTCATTATTAGTACTTATTATCTTCCTATGATTAAATCATTGTACTGGTTTTGGCTGCAGAAGAACAGATGATGACATCAGCATCAGCTGACAGTTGTTTCACATCTTTTTACTACGAACAATATTTTTCTATCACAACAAATCAGGCTGTGTTTAGTTGTAGGAATTTAGATTTTGGGGCTACTATAGCACGTTCGTTTTTATTTGGCAAATAGTGTTCAAACATGGACTAATTAGGCTCAAAACGTTCGTCTCGCAATTTCCCACCAAACTGTGCAATTAGTTTTTCTTTTCGTCTACATTTAATGCTCCATACACGGGCCGTAAACATTCGATGTGACAGGTACTGTAGCAATTTTTTGGAAGTTAGGGTGAAACTAAACAAGGGCTCAGTCAACAGTATTTTCAGCCACTTTTCAGCCATAGCTTATCAACCAAGCGAGCTGGGCATAGACAAGAGAGCAAAATTTTCTGAAGTGGCTGACGTCTTACCTTGGAATAGAAAAGGCAAAGCAAGCAACGGCCTGCAGCTTCTATTGAGAAATCCAAGGCTTCCATGATGCACCATGTTGACCAGAGGAGATTAAACAATACGTTTCGTACTGGCCGGTCAAAATGTTGCGTACGTTCTCTCGGACATAGTACTCCGTAGTAGAGCCCTTGTTCAGTTCGCGAAATTTGGATTTTGGGGTTACTGTAGCACCTTCGTTTTTATTTGGCAAATAGTGTCCAAACATTGACTAATTAGGCTTAAAACGTTCGTCTCGTAATTTTCCACCAAACTGTGCAATTAGTTTTTCTTTTCGTCTACATTTAATGCTCTATACATGGGCCGTAAACATTCGATGTGGCAGATACTGTAGCAACTTTTTAGATTTTAAGGTCCAACTAAACAAGGGCATAGTTTTACTTATCACGAGACAAATCTGAATGGAGTTTGGCCGATCTAGTCAACTTTTTTCGTTAGCATGAGTTATGACCACCGTTTTTTCTTTTTCTTTTTTGCATTGTATTTTAGTTTTGGTCATCTTCTTGTACCGTGAGACGGCAGCCATTGGAGGCACCATCAGCGGTGCCGTGGCCTGCAGCTGCAAGCCTGCCGCGTCAAGGGTGGATAGCAATTTAAATAATTTTCAAGTTTTTTTTCAGAATTAATATATCATTATTTGTTATAGCCTTCTATATTACTCCCTCCTGTTAGAACTCTTTGGATAATCTAGTTGTGGATCAGTGGGGTTTCAATGGGTTTCTCGTAGTAATGGTGTGAACGGAGAGGGACATAGAGGGAGATGAAGAGCTAGGGTTAGGCACTGACCATCCATTGAGTAGGGGATTCGGCCATCAGGTTCATTGGTGAAGTTCTGCGCTAGGCAGCGACGGTCGGAGAAAAGAGAGCGACACAGTGAAGACCGTGGTGGCACAGTGCAGTGGCGGCGGCGGTGCTTCCCGTCACTGGCCGCGCCCCTCTGTTAGATCGGAGTAGGGTTTCTAGGTGGGGCGTACGGCTCAAGCGAACCTCATCCTAAGAGCCGCCGACCCCACCTCTATTTAATGCGCAGTGTGACGGGGGCCCGCCAGCCATAGATGGACTGGGCGCCCCCGATCAGGGCGCGAGGTCAAGGCCCAAGTGGCCGTTGGGCCACTGTGGTTGGGAGATCAAACCAACATTCTCCCCCTTGATCTCAACTCATACTTTAACTTTAAACTTTGACTTTAATCATTTTTACTTTTATTTGTTCCATCACAGATTAGTGCATAGAGCATGCTTCATCGTCACGGTCAATCGCCGATAGACTTAACAGCTACAATACACATCTCTGTTCTGAAACAGATTCTTTAACTTTGAGCCCTTTATTATCCGGAAATCATAGGCTATACCATAAACCCATGTCGACTGTGTGTTCTCCAAACACACTGGGTGGTAAGCCTTTTGTACGTGGATCCGCAGACACTTGCTTGTTACTTATATGTTCAATACTTTTAGTATGATTCCGGACTTTCTCCTTCACAACGTACAACTTTAACGTCAATGTGTTTGACAGCACACTTGACCCGTTGTTATAGGAGCAAACTACTTAAATAGTTATTGCTGTTGTATACCATTATCAATTCCGGGTGTAAGTTCTTTTAACCACTTCGCCTGTCCTTAAGCCTCATAACAAGCTATACCATAGTTATGCATCTTTGATGACACCACAACTGTTTCTCTGGAGCTTTTCCACAATAAAACTCCAACTGCGAGTGTTAGCTACTATGTGGGTTTCACTAAACATCTCGCCAAAATTTAACTTTTGTACCCACAACTATTTGAGAGTACTTATTCTTTCTTACTCATCATGAGGCCTATAAATCTTTGCACAATTACAAAACATTCTCAACTCTATTCCAGTGATCTACATCTGGACTGGACTTCTGCCAAAACATCCCGGATACATAAACTGTGTAAGGGTAAGTTCTTGCTTATAAGCATTCAGTAAGCTTCCAACAGCTGAAGCATATAGGACATCCATTTAATCGATCTCACATTTATTCTTGGAACACTGAAAGTTCCGAAAACTATTACCCTTGACTATAGGAACAGGCGTAGGTTTATTCACATATATACTTTATTTCTTTAGAATCTTCTCTAAGTATACACTTGAGATAGTTCTAATACCCCTTTTCCTTTTATCTCGGTAAGTTCCAATTCCTGGAACGAATGATGCTTTACCAAGACCATTCTCATTGAAACTTGAGGACAAGAACTGCTTCTTCTTCAACAGTAGATTAACACCAGTACTAGCGAGTAAGGTGCTACCCACATGCAGGATTAGGAAAATAAATTTCCCATGTTTAAACTTTGCATAAATACAATTGTCCTCTACATTCTCTTTAAAACCCAAACTTTCTTATTGTACTGTCAAACTTTAAGAACCACTGTCTTGAAGCTTGCTTTAATCTATAAATGGATTTCTTTAGGCAACATCCATTTACGTTCTTTTCCTTCCACGACAAAACCTTTTGAGTTATAACATGTAAACGTTTCCATACAAATCCTCATTGAGGAATGTGTCTTTACATCCTTCTGATGTAACTGTAAATCGTAATGTGTCACTAATACCATTATGATTATAAAAGAATCCTTGCAAGTTTATTATAATCTATTCCTTCTCTTTGTGTAAATCATTTCGCCACAAGTGGCGCTTTATAGCTTTTCATATTTTCTTTGGAGTCACATTTGTCTTGTAGACCCATTACAGCCTACTGTGTTGGCTCCATTGGGAATTACTTCTAAGTCCCAAACATCGTTGGTATTTATCGATTTCATTTCATCTTCCTTTGCTTCTTGCCATTTAGACGAGTGAACGCCTCTCATGGCTTTTTCAAATGAGGTGAAATTATCCTCTATTTGAATTTCTTTCTTAACATTGACTTCCTAGTCACCAGAAATATCTGATTTTCTTATTCTTTGAGACCTTCTGGGGCCTCGTGGCACTTCTTTCATATGGGGCTATTGTTACTCTTCATTGCCAAAAGGCAATTGTTCTATAGCCTCATGTATTATATGATTCTTATTTACTTATTCATCTTCTTTAAGAGCTAACATCAGGTGTTGTATACCCATACAACATCAACATGTATTAAGCAATTTGTTGCTCTAAAAAAACACTGTAGTGGATATGTAATCCCACCTCTATTCAAGACTTAGGTATCTACATACCATGCT